TGACTGATACGTGTTTATGAATGTTTTTGTATATATGTATGTATGAATATATGTATTGTTTAGCATCAACGAGGGTACGCGATGCGAACGAGCCCCGATGAAACTTATTTCATACCCACAAATCATCATTCATATTCCACTGCAATATGCTCAATGATCTCGTTTTGCTCCACTTATCAAACTTTAATTGTTATTATTCTCATGTTATTGTTTCATTTGAGCACTATGTTTTTAGCGTTACTCGGCAGTGATCAATTCATTCTGATCGCGAAATTGAAAAATTGCTCGTGTAAATTAGCCATATGAACTGAACCACTGTTGTTTCCAAGCACTCTAAAGCACCGACAACACATAAATTTGTCGATCTTCACAAATGACATTCACAAAAATTTCGGACTATTCCGCATTCTTTCAGACATATCAATAAAAAATGCCAAGAAATGCGCTGAGTGAATTAAGAGCAGAAAAAACAAGTTAGCTTGATTCGGAACCATTCGACCGTTCATTCAAAGTGACTGAAGATAACAGTTGCTAAAGTTCACCTACTAGCTCTTGCGAGAAGAAACACTCGAATGTGCACCAATGGAACACTGTGCAGAACAGAAGCGTTGATCGCTCGCTCTTTCAGCTGATTACAACAATATTTCTTCAACGCCCACTGCTATCAAAATATTACGTGATCATCCACAAATGAATAATGCTTGTATTTTGGATTCGTCTAGCGCGATTCAATCTGAATTTGAATTCAATTTACTTCTTTCAAGCCTCTGTAGAAACCCATTGAAATGTGATCATTTCAAGGCAGCATAAACGAAGAACTCAGCCAAACGAAATGATTGATTCTGTGCGAAATGAGTGAAAATAACTGAGTGGTCACAAAGTGCATTTATTAATTCATGAATGGAACAACAGCAATGAAAATAAAAAGATTTCTTTGTGATTTCAAAACACCTCAAAGTTTGTTGCTGAAACGAACCAACAATACTAATTCAGCTCAAATGAACATAACTTTATTGCAATATCCGAATTCATTTCCATTAATCCTTTTACAGGTTTGCATTGTATCTTTTTTTTTCAAAATCACTGAAGCAGCCGAAACGCTAACAATAAGATAAAATCAAACGACTCAAATTCAAATTAGATGCAAACAACTAACAACTGAAGAATGTCAAGCATTTGCTTACATGTTCCTTACTAATCATCATTCTCCGAATCAACCATAAGTACCCTCAGAAATTATTTTCAAAACGCTTCTCTTCAAAACGATTCCTTGATTCCTTCATTATCCATTTAATCTTACTGTATTCGATAAATCAAAATTATCAATTCCACTTCCCTAATGCATTCGCTCAATATCCGAAAATGAGTCACTACAAAAAGCGTTTGCAATCGAAACAGTCAAGCCTACAGCACCAACAAATACGTGATTCGAAGAAGCAATATGATAAAAACAAAAAACGATTAAATTCAGAATAAACTAAACAATTCATATGTGATGTTAATGACAAAACGAACAGTGATTATACATACAGAATGAGCACCAAAATTTACGAAAGTCTGCAACATGAAGAATTCGAACGATGGTTCGATGGCAAAGTTACAGAGTTTTCACTGAAATATCTATAGAAACCCGACTACCGATTCATTGATATACACAGACGTAAGTAAGTGAATGAATGATTAATTGAAAAGTTCAAATGAAATATATCACAACCGAAATAATGTAATAACAACTTATAAATGAACGTAACAATGGAATAAACTTCTTAAAATCGTATACATCATAAGGCACAAGCAAAAAACATATTTTTACAAATATGAAAACATCGGATGACAATTAAGTCAAAACATCGATTATTAACGACGAGAAAGAAGCCGTTTCGTTCTAATGCTGAAAATACCTGTAGAATACAAATTTGACTGGTTGTATTACAACACTCGAAGGACGTCCTTTAAGCAATAATTGAATTGAACCGATAAAGATCACTGAATATGTGCTACAAAAATATCACATTACCGATCAACAATCATAAGGTTTACACACAATATTACACGCAAGTAACAAACTGGAGTAAAGAACAAACGAGCAAACAATATCTTACAGGTTAGAACGTTGAAAACTGGCACATTTATCAAGCAAAAATACAAGAATAAATGCAAAAAGAATCACAAGTTTTTGAGATATTGGTGTTGTTCCGCATCGGTTGTGTTCAATGGTTGATGCTTTGACTTTATGCTGAGTTCAGACCCATTCTAAAGGCACTGAAAGACGTCCATCGGTCATAACGTGTATCGTTGGGTTCGTACTGAAGTGCAAAGCCATATCAACCAGGAGTTCGTGTAACGACTTCCCACCCTATAAATTCACAACGTAAACGAAACCACCACTGGAAAACAGCACAAAGTATGCAGTTTATCAAAACCTCCGTTGAGCTGAATCCGATAGTCGTTTGATCCAACTTGGTGGAGATTTTTATAAAACAGAAGCCCGAATTCTTAACATTATGAAGTCAACAGATTCGTGCTACTGCAATACCCCAAAAAAATCAATGTCAGGCGATACTCTCGTTGGACCACTCGAATAACAGAAATAACGATTCCCATAAAAATGCACTAAATGCTTTCGAATAGGAAAGTATCGTGCATCATAAAAATTCTCAATTCTGTTGGCAAATGAATGTTTTCCCGAAATAGAATGTCTCAAGTGAATAAAATCAGGTAATCGACCTGTCTCAATCGATGCATGGATGACAGTAACTCCTCCAAATTAATGCCTTGCTGCCAGGTCAAATCACGCAATTTCAATGCACCAATACAATCACGACGAACGTTCTCCACATCACACTGCAATAAGCAAACACAAATTTTGAATATCGTCAAAACTAAATTCCAGTCTTTGACATTTCCATCACCAAAAAAGAACCAAAAATATCAAAAATGGAACTAACTTGTTGTTGATGAATCGTGGCATTAATCTGACGAGAAAGATGTGCCTTCTCGTTCATAAACTCGATTAGGTGACCAATCGCTGAATTACACGGCACGAATAAACGACCGTCCTATAAAACACACACTTCAGCACGGCTATCCAACTCATCCTCCATATGTCAGATGAACTATTTTTGTCCGTATGGCAATAATCACTTCAGCGATAACCTTTCCAATTGCCAGTTCACCATACGCACTGACCACCTCAATCAACGTATCCCTTCCAAGTGTCTCCAATCGTAACTTCTCGCTCTCGTCTCGCGCCATTATACGCACTATCAACGACTGCAATCATTCGTTTATCACTTAACTGTTATCAACAACAAACTGCTCTCGCACTCCAAAAATCAATCAGCAAAAATCGAATCAAGAGAATATTCCTGAGAAAATGCTCAAAAATACTTCGAACGGAATCAAACTCTCAATTGCAGTAACATGTGAGGCTGATGAGCCTGTCAACAATTTAGGCGATGAAACACTTTAAAATTATTCTTATCATTATGCCATAAGCTTTTCCTTATTTGCATCCATATCATTTTTGTTCGCCTTCATGAAATGAAAATTTCTTTCCGCTCAAATTATGAAAATACACAGCACACCGTTAAAATCGATGCGATTTTCTGACTGAAACTGAAGAGATGTCGCCGAGTCCTGACAAGTTACTGCTTTAGAAGGGCCGTAATTGAGAGAAAGTGAAGAAAGACAACAATTCAATTAAAGACCTGAATTTGATCAACAGTTTGCGGTAGGCACAGTTCGGGTGTGATTATAATGTGCGCATTACCAAAAAGCTGTGAAAGTTTCGCGCGTGCACCCCTCAACTCATCCAGTTGCGCTCGTTGCACAGACGCCCTGTCACAGACATGTTCCCATTCCTCGGGAACATCTTGCACTCCAAACTGCACACCACCATCACAGCAAATGAATGAACTTCGTCCAAACATAAAACCAAACGAATTCACTTATCACTCTACACGAAATTATTAAGCGAAATTCAAAAGAAAAACAACAAACATATTAATTGACAAAGTGCATCAAACACGTTGGTTCATCAAACAGCTGGCGAAACTACTGATAAATCGTTGAGTTAATGCGAAAGTGCTTTAGTGCCGAACGAGATCGTGAACTTTCCATCAACTGTGATCAGTTATGATCAGTTATTAATCACTGACAACAAAAAAAAGGACGGACATCAACCACCACACTAATAGAAAGGATAAGCGCAGAATTCAACTGAAGCATGCATGCATGTCTTGGCATTGACCAACCTCAAACAATATCCACGGAGAGCAGCAACAATGGGATTTTCAGATCGTGCGGTGTTGTGCGATGCGGATGCATGGTCAATGACTCGATTCACCGAAACCAAACACCTTCGCATATGCGATTTCGACCAGTCGGTCGTCCAGAATATCTGAACAGATCAATCCATGAAACATTTGCCATTGCCATTATATGTCCATACTGAAACTACTTATTAACGATACGCGTGAGGAACACTTCCAATGACCATTCCATTGAATATTCTCAAATGAGCTGATTCACGGAGGTTGGACGCAATTCGCATATCGTATCCATTTTACTTTTAAATCCTCTCATCTTTACATTTACTTGGATATAACCAAATACGCCGCCAAAACTTTAGGATTTGAAGCAAATAACTCTACCCAATTGTGACTCATTCAAAATCGCAACAACAACCTCAAGCGAATACAATAAAAAGAACACACCTCGGTGACGCCAGCCCGTTCTCGAAGTTCCGCTATTTCCTCCTTAAGCAGTTCGGAAGTCTTTCTGAAAATACAACATTCAATTTTTTGAACTGAACAAAAACTAAAATGGAAGAAGTTAAAAGGAAATCGCAAAAGAATGAAACGTGATTGCACCCACACACACACAGTAAAGATAAGCATCAGCTTATTTATCAGTTCTGTTTTCAACCCAAATTTTTCGATCATCTCTCCTCCTTGTTCGAGTTCTTTCAGTTCCTGAACCAAATCTGTTGAATTTCAGTCGACAGTCTGGTTGGTCATTACCGCAAAAGAACACCAAAAAAAACAAACTCGAACGCTCTAACAGCCTCGCTGGCAGCAACTTTATGTTTCTTCAAAGCGGCCGTAAGATCGTTTCTTCGGAAGTATTTCGAACGTTTTTTGCGAAATAATCGCATCATCTCTTCGGCGGCATCCATTTCACTCGAGTCGAATGAATTACGCGGTTTACCGCTTCTGACTGAATCTGACAATGTCGTTGGCACATTTTTCGTCGGCAGATTACACTGCGTCAACGCAGTTCTGCAATGGTCCATTCAATCAGAACGTATAATTAAGACAATCACTTATCAGACCGAATGTACTCATTAAATGCCTTCAACATCGATCATTCAAACAACCTAATCGTCGGAGAAAAGATGGATGTCATTCGGAAGCAACCAATAAATGATATCAACGCACACAACAATAGAACGCGCATCTGTTCCGGACAAGGAGATTTGTACTTTTCGGAGATTTTTAACGTTCTTTTCGGCCAGATAAAACTCCACCTTGACCGGATCCGGTACTCTTCTCAACGGAAATAAATCATTCAAGTAGCCATTGAATGTCTGCAAATGTGAAATGATTAACTGCCAGAGTGAGATAGACATCAAAACTTCTCATAGACTGTTGAGTGATAATTTCACAATTCAAATAAATCCAATCAAAACAATGAAGAATGCGAACCGAAAATCGCAACTTTATGTGAACTGCAAAACATCGAATGTGCACTCCCTTCTACATGACCGTGTAATTCATACTCATATTCGTAAATCATTCAGATATACTAAAGGCTTAATGACCATAATGCAGAGATGCACGTCATTGCATGAACGAATTCCATTTCACAACAAATAACGCAGCTAAAACAATCAAACTCATATGAAAAGAAAAACAGAAAATGACGACCTTAAGTGACTGTTCATTGTGTGATTTNATGCGCTAAATAGCTACATCCTGCTAAGCGACTGATCAGATCGAATTGCAATCGACAATGCATTTCATTCTGGAATAGTTGGTGAATGATGAAAACTTGATGAATTCGAATCAAACTCATATTGTCAACATTAAACTTGACTGACTGACCCACTCGAAAGAACAAGCCATTTCTCAGATATCCTATCCACCATTTTACTAATTTCATTTCACGGCACACTTGCATCATCTCCCCACAACTTGCAAAATGCCGAACCCTTCCTCCCAATTCAGTTACGCTTCCACTCATAGAACGTCCACTCCCACTGCCATTGATGATTTTTAATCACAATAACTACTGACGAACATTTTAGATGCCCCCAACAAGACTAAATAACTCGAACTGAAGGTCGACGACAAATTCAAAAAGCAATTGTTGTAACGACAGCAACATAAGAACATGAAAATAGTGTCAATCAATGAAACAAGATAAAACTAATACTGACTGAACAGCTTGTGAATTCACTATTTAAAAATAGACGTTCCAGATGTAATCATTTAATATTGCAATTACGAAACAACGAATAACAATCAACAATCTATGAAGGTAACAAGAACGATTTTGGAATAACGGTGAACACATAAAGCAACCATGGAAAAACGTCATAAATTCAGCGCAAATTTAACTTCGAAAACGAAGTTATTCAAACTTTGAAAATATTGAAAAGCTTCTGACATGATAAATTTGAAATACAAATAAAAGGCGATCATCTCAAATCAATTTCAGTTTCCGCA